TTCCTGTGCTCCAATATGCTCCAATGTTCAATTTCCTTAGGAGCGAGTTTCTTTTCCTTCAAGATCCGGATGACCTCTCCGGGTTCTTCTTCGTCTCCTTTCGGTATGAGTCTACCGGATGGACCGACCTCGTCAAGCGAATGTCGACCATCGGTTTTCCCGTGAACAATATCGGCAGGTGGATGTGCAGGTGGAGGTAACGGAGGTCGGAGGTAGAGGAGGCAAGCCGATTGCTTCGCGTCCTTCGCGTTCAGCTCCGTCAAGAATGTCCTTGATGGCCCCCAATCCTGGAGATGTTGGGCGCGATGGCGTCGATGCTCTTGACGTAGTCTTTGCTCGGGGAGCTGTCTTCAGTGCAGCAGGAGAAGATGTTTTGGCTTTCTCCTCCTCTGTGGAACTGTCAACGGACTGTACCACAGTGTCGTCGGCGGTAGATTCACCGGCCGCTGCAGCTGCAGCCGCATTGCCAAAAGTCCATGACGTATCATTGCTTGATCCAGAAGCCATTGTGGTAGTAGTAGAGCAGAACCACTTTGCTTTTGTAGGCAGAGCCTACGGCTGATAACCTGCGTGAGGTTGGGATATCGATGATGTCCTGAATACGCTCCCTCACCAGAGCTATTTGATGTTGATTGCGGTTTGCCTGTAAGCTTCAGTGTCTGTCTGTCTTACCAACCAGTGCAATTCCCTTACAGGCACGGCCGACTCTCTTCTGTGCACGGGACAGCTCAGATGCTTCCTTGTTGGACCATCAGCTTGTTCGGCGAAGCTGTTATGTTCTTGAGCCTTGAGCCAGAGTTGCGAAGCATAAAGTACTCGGGTCACAGAGGCGTGCCCTTGTGACTATAGGTACAGGATTCGGTAAACGAGCTCCTGTCCTTTGTACATGACAGTTGATGACATGTGGTAACACAGCTCATATCGCGATACCTACGATTGGACTAGGCGTCGACGTCCGTTCGCACTCCCCATGAGTTACGCCTTCGGCTACAGATGACGGGATGGTGTATAAGGCGATGCCGGATGAAGATGTCTTCAAACTATTGCGTATGGTACCCTCAAAGATTGAGCTCAGGATTCGGCGATTACAGTATTGGCAATCGGTGGCCAGAAATCCGACGCTTCATGCTGCATTGCTTGCGGCTGTATTTGGGAGGTTGTCTTATGATGCTCATGATACACTTTGTGCTGACGGATCCGTTTCAGAGTATGCCAACCCCTGGGCCTTGCAATTCAAAGAAGACGTTACTGATTTGCTCCGCATGGACACTGCATCTGAGAGGCTATTCGGCATATGGCAAAGATTTTCATTGGTCTTTACCACATTTCAGCAGGATTTTCTGCACGTGGACTGTGGTGAGATGCGGGCTGAGTATCTTGGTGTTCGCATCCCGCCGCCGGGTGCAACGGATCACGCTTTTGGTATCCCACAGGCTCCGCAGGAGGTTGATGAACAAGGCTCTATGTATACTTGTGATTGTACAGATGCAAATGGCCAGCAATGTACAGCAACGTTTCGGTCATCACAGGCTCTTGCCATGCACATTCGGTGTACTGTGGGTGGTTCTCACGGTCATGTGCATCCTCATGTGCGGGCGGCTATTTGCAACCAGTGTCCATTTTGCAAACATGTCTTCGCAAGTGTGCGTGTTACACAGAATCACATTCGAACCAGCTTGCGGTTACAACGTTGTACGGGCATGGGTAGTGCAACTCATCATTCGGTCACGTTGCCTTGCTTGCTGGTATGCCCATTTTGCAATGCTGAACATGCGGTTCACGCCTGCATTGCCCAACATTTGCCCGAGATTTCCAACTAGTGCCTTTGCCTTCGTCCTCGTTCCGCAGTTGCCAAGCATGTCGTGGCTTCAAAAAGCCCAAGAGGATGCCAGACCGACCAAGATGAGTAGGACGCAGCCGGGAGATGCCAATGCCAGTGATGCGGACAAGTTGCTCGAACTTGTTGCCAAGCTGTGCCTCAAGAATGCTCTAGAGATTCGTGAAATGCAGGCGGCAGCGTTGAGAACATATTTGCTACCCTGGGACAGTGGACTGGTGGTTGCGGCTACTGATGCTGCCAAGAATCATGCTGACAAGCTCAAGAATGCCAAGGGTGATCAGAAGTCAATTGCCGCACTGGGACCTGTTCATAGTCATGTGTGGGCAGCCTTGGCCAAAGCTGCAGCGGAATGCCCGCTTAATGAGGAAGATGGCAACACGTTGAAGGCCCATTTCCTGGAAATCACTGGTCAAGGGAGCGATCCCAATGCGATTGCGGCTAGGGTCCACATCGCTCGGTTCAGAATGGCTTGGGACAAGAACACCGTGAGGTTGCATCTGGCTTGTTGTGCTGACCTAACACATGTCATGTGTTCTTTGGAGAAAGCGCTCACCAGTTGCGGTGCCCATCGCAAGTATGGTCAAGCTCCACGGGGTGGATTGGAACGCCAAGTGCAGGAAGTTTTGGACGCTTTAAAGTAGGATCAGTGAGGAGGTGTAGGGGGTTCGGCCGTGTTCCCGTACAGATGCGGCATGCGGCTGGGAAACGTTTTGTATGGGAAGGCTGTCCTTTCTTCCCTGTTTCTCCAGTGCCAACGTGTTCTGTGGTAGTTGGCCAGCTCTGTTACTTGTAAACGCCGGGGGCTATGACCCCCTTGCTCGGCTGGGACTGAGACCGTTCGTCCGAATGCCGTCATGAATGAATGAATGAATGAATGAATGATGACATGTGGTAACACAGCTCATATCGCGATACCTACAATTGGACTAGGCATCGACGTCCGTTCGCAGTAGGCATGCGTAACAGCCATGTACCAATTGCCATGTGCCACATATACCATACACCATACCATACCACATCATATACCATACCTGAGCATATACCATACCATACGCCAGATCATACACCATACCATACACCATAGTGTGCACAACAATATACCATACACCATACCATATAACCATGCCTTGCACAATGCCATACAGCTTACCACATAGCAGCATTCACCACTGCCGATGTTTATTCCCCAAGCTCAACATCGGTTGCATGTTCACTTCATTGGCAGTCCCAAGTGTTGCAGTCAGACTATATTACCTTCAAAACCATCTCAATAGCCCCCCACTCCCATATGACTATCCGTAGTGCAAACCTCAAACATCAACTGCACGAATATCATATATCACGAATGGTTACCCCAGTCCCAGAACATTAGCCGGGGGCCCTTCAGTGCCCGTTTGGCGAACGCGCTTCCCCATCAGGCTTCTCTAGATTAGGGATTTTCAATGCTGTGGTACGCACTTATGATAAGAGTCACCTGGTATTACTTCTAGGTTCCAACAGGGCGGGTGCGAGGGCAGGCATGGATCGCAGCCCGGGAAATGGGCCAAGTCGGTCACTTGCACCAAAAAGGGTAGATAACCCGGGGGGGGGGTAGCATACATATATATATATATATATATATACAGCTATATATATATATACATATACATATACATATACATATACATTTGCATATACATACACATATACATATACCTATACCTATACCTATACCTATACCTATACCTATACCTATACCTATACATGTACATGTACATGTACATGTACATGTACATGTACATATACATATACATATACATATACATATACATATACATATACATATACATATACATATACATATACATATACATATATATGTAAACTTATATATACACACACATAGTGCTCCGGTGTATATACACATACACCATGCGTACTAATGCCATATATGCTGATGTGCTAAAACATCAAAGAAATACATATATATATATATATGTACATTTATTTAGTTATACATATTTTTCCATATGCTTACGTACATGCTATAAGGTTTCATGTTTACTTGCTTACATGCCTACATCCATACATACATACAGACAGCCAGATAGACAGACATACATCATTCATACACATGTGCATGCACACATACATACTACATGCTATTACATTGCCATTACCTTACCATGACACTAATTACCATTACCGGCACCATTACCATACCTTTGCCATTGCCATACCACACCATACCGTTTTCATACCATACCATACCATACCATGCCATACCATACGAGCCACACACATACGTGTTGCGCATGCCTGTATGTACAAACATAAACTGCCTTCCAAGCCTTCAACACTGCAAATAGCACAAAAACTAGAGTGCCGCTACTGCCACTCAAAGCACCCATGAATGTTCACATCCTCAGTTCTGGAGCCTTCCCGGGCGTAGAAGGACGATTAGAGTTTTGTCTGAGTGTCTGTCTGCCAAGACTTCGGCTTTGTACGGCTTTGTGCCCTGTACCTCGGGGGGGTACGGTTCCACCAACAACAACAAAAACCAAAAACAATGACAGAACCGACAGCACCACCGTCACCACCATCACCACCACCACCAAAACAACGAGAACGACAACAACAACAACACCGAAACCTTTAAGGAACCCTTCAAGGAACCACCAAAGAAGCCTTCCCTTGAAAAGGACCGTACATAAGCTAGTCAAAGGGTTTTGCAGGAGTCCGTGTGACTTTCGGAATCGGGCGTAAGGAGTGCTTTGAATTTAGATGTAGATGATCTGTAGATGATTTGAGGCTCTAAGTGTCTAAAGGCTAAGAGCCTACACCCCGAATCCGAAAAACACCCTGTGCCCTAAAACCCCAAACTACCACTAGACCCTGAACCTCAAACCCTCAACCCCAATCCCTCCCAGACCATAAGCTCCCGATGCGGCAAGAAAAGGCGCCACCGCCTCCAGGCCAGGAGGGGCAGGGAGGCAAGACTTCCGCTCTGGCCGGAGCATTGCGAAGATTCTACGACTGAGCCCAAAAAAAATCTTGCACCGGCCTATAGCTGCCAGACTTTGGGGGCTTGCAGACGCGAAGCGGACTCAGAAGGCGTCCCCGAGGCATGTTTTGACCAGATTAGCTGTGCCTGAGTGCCTGTGAAACGCTGAAACGTATATCAGCACATGAGCAGACACTGCAGGTTCTCCCTCACGCTCTCGAAGTCCGTGGAAGAGAGTCGAGCCCGGAGTTGCTGCTCCGCGTCTGCATAAGTTGCAGTAGGATCGTCAGCAGCACGCCAAAGGAGCTTCAGAGAATCAATCACTTCGTTCTGGCAAGCAGCGGAATAAGCGGGAAGCAAGTGCAGCAGTGTGACCAACAAGCACACCCACTCCTGACGTTGAGGCTCCGTCAGTGATCGCAGGAGGACTTCCAGATGTTGCATGCACTGCCACATGTCATTCCAGGTCACGTCTGTCTCCTGACTGGTTGACAAGATGTCTCTCATCTGACTGAGCATTGTCTCTGCAATCAGCTCTTTCACGAATCCGAGGCCGCCGATTCCATAGTTCACAACTATAAGGTGTGCCGCTGCACGGACGGAACGATTTGCATCAAGGCAGTACCCAAATGCATCACGGAGGTTCTTGATCACGATGTCACGGACAGAACTTTCTGCAAAATGGGTTGTCGCGACTCGAGCCAGCACCATACACCAATTCTGGCCTAAGATGTACACACATGATTGGGCTGGCTTTGCTGGCTTTGACCGGGACTTCCAGCAACGGGTCTGCTACAGTAGCCTTGGACATCTCAGAACAGATCAAGAGGCATTGATAGCGCTTCCGGGAGATGACATCGTCGGCAAAAGCTTCGCCGTGAGACTGGTGTTGCTTCGCTCCATCCCTACAGGTCACGATCGAGGCGGACCTGCGCGAAGTCTGGGTTTGCCCCTCAATCTGCGGACTGCAAGGCCGCAGGTCGATACGGAAATCTCAGAGATCTTAGGATCCGGCGTGTCAAACCTGCCAACTTCGGCGATGTGCCGCAACAACACCTTGGCTTGAAAATGCTTGAACAAACCGCTTCACCACAGATCGCGGCTGCATACAACGCGTGCTATTGCACTGGAAGCCCCCGCCTCTGGACTCCGACTCTGCCGGGACGTTCTGCGCCACGCCAACATGTCTGGCACCTCGGCGCAAGCAGAAGCATCGCGAGGCATCTGCGCAGCATCAGGGCAGCATCCGCCAGTCCCTCTGTCTCGCGCGCTTCGCCAGCAGTTACATTCTGAGACAAGCCACAGACAGGTACGCTAAAAGCACAGGATGCACATCCGTGTCGGCCCGGAGCACTCCAGGCAGATCTCCCTTTCAAAGGAAGAGATACAGCATGGCTGTGTTCCCTTCAAGATTGCATCAGGGCCTTGATGGTGAGATGCTCGTCATCATTCGTCTCGGTCTCGGCCTCACCTGCCTCAGGGAAGCACTTGTTCACTCCTGTCCACGGCTGCTGCATGCAAGCGCACCTCGCTGGCAAAATTGAGGTGAGCCGGGCTGTGGTACCGCGGAGTCATGAGCTCGTCCAGGGGTATGTTGTCCTCCAGGATGGACCTTTGGTGCCAGCCCGGTCCCAGCAGGTAAAGGAGCGGAGCGCTGCTACCTGCTAGTACCTGCAGCCAGGCACCTTCCAGGGCTCTCAACCATGCACCTGCAGAATCCCGACACTCGCCAGCATTTTGGACAGGGAAGAACGCACATCGAGAATCGCACTTTCCTCTGCATGTTCCACGACGACGCCCCACAAGTTGAAAAGAAGTTCACAGGGACAAAAGGCCACTGCGGAAGGTGTAGATTTATTCGCAAGTTGCGACTTAGTTTACTTGCAGGGCAAGCATCCGCTGTCCCTGACCGGAAACACCACGCCATTGCAACATGCGAGCCCATGGTGTGGCCGAAGTGCGAAGTGCTTTACTATGGAACAGCAACCCATTATCACGGCCATGGCAGCACTGCAGCACCCTCTCAAGGCGGGTCGCCGGCGCTCGACGGCAGGGATCAACAACTTCCCCTCGTCGATGCAAACGTCGCCAGTGGCATCCTCTGGCTTGGCCAAGGCCTCAACTGGACGCAGGCCGCTAGATTAAGCCGTAAATCCCAACAACGAAGTTGCAGATCCAAACCACCAACCCTCAAATTGTGTGCATGTCTTGCGTCTGACACTTGTGGAGAGCGACCGGAAGTCGCCCACAATTACAGACACCAAGAAGGACAGCCTGGAGCCTCAAAACAGTAATCATAAGCCCCCTCGCCCCCCGACACTCCTGTTATCTCCCGTTGCAGGAAGCCTTCGCTTGACAAACTCGGCTTTCCCACGGGCCCCTATCTCGGCTACTTGTAGCTTTCGTTTCCACAGGTGATACGTAAATGGAAGTGTTGACGAGCCTTCTGGAAGGAGCGGCCCGTTTAGTTGAGAACCTGCAAGAAGCCCTCGGAACCCGCCTGTGAGTGGCAAACCTCCTCACCATCCTCAGACGGTACGCGCGTGCTGTCGGTGCTGTCCGTGCTCGGTCTGGGCCTGAGCTCACCGACGCGAAAGCTGTCCAAAAGGCACTTTCTGAGAGCCCGGCTTCTTGTCAGTGATTGCCATCGTGCCGAACGGAGTTTCTTGGCACCTTGTCAAAAGAGTGCTGCAAGCATCCTCCCCACCTTCCAAAGAAAGTGGAAGGCAAAGGATTGCTGCCAAGGCACTGTTCCGACCGCGGCTTTGTGGCAGCGAGACCGACATCCGTAGGCCTGAGCAAGTTCTTCAGCAAGGCACTGGGGGCATTCGGAGCCGCTTTGGGAATTTTTGCCCCACCCCACCGATCAGCGGTTAGGAAGGCGCGGCAACGGCCCCGCAGACCCCCGACTGTAAGCCGGCATAAGTCTGGCTGATGGACAGGCCTCGCATCAACAGTCACGTGGCGACGCTCGTGATGACCGTGCCTCGCGGCATCAAAGTCTTGCAGGAATCCGAAGACATGTCATCCGACGGTCATCCGAAAGCTTAGGCCTAGGCCTAGGCCTGCGCATCATGTTGCTGTGAAAGCTTTAGTATTTTGGGGCATTCATTGGTCGAAGGAGCTGCCGAGTTTCCAGTCCTTGTGAAGATCCTGCAACTTTGCGGAGTGCTGGATTGGGCTAAGCAGAACGGATGCCCGGTATCTCGCAGAAATGTGGTGTGCACTTGTTGTGATGTGTTTCTGGATGCGAGCCGGTGTACACTGGAGACATGAGATCCTCAAGGTCTGAGTCAAAGATAGACATGCGGTTTTCTTCATACACGTGCGAAGCAGGCAGGGGACAAGCCGCTAGAAGACTTCACATTCGCAAGCTCACGAACGGCGCTGTGCGTAGCAAACCTACCATCAGCCTTAGCAAGCTTTGCAGCAAGAGGCACCCATCCGCCACGTCCAATTTCTCGCAGAACTCCTTGGCCATTTCTGGCGAAGAGCTCGATGATCTTGTGGTGACAGGTCGTTGCAAAGCCTCTACTAAAATCGCAGCAAGCCCTCCAGACTAGACACAAACACGGTCTCGAGCACACATCGTCTAAAGAAGACCCGGCAAGCTAAGACCTTCACGAGGTTTTGCATCAAATTGCTGTCCAATTCTGGACACCCTATTTTCCTGCATGACTTGTTTCGGCATCCCGGCTCTCTGCCACCTGAAAACCGACGAAAGCCAACGCCACCGCGGCCCAACGGCACTTTGAAAGGGGAACGGGGAAAGGAGGCAGCTGTTCCTTCGAGTGGAAACCTGTTTGCCCAGAAGGCAACACCTGACCCCTCAATTTCCGGCTGAGGAGGCCTTCCACAACGAGGCTGATCCCAAACCACCCTGCCGTCCTCGGCGTGACGCCACCGCTCCATCTCTTGGCTCGGTTGATGGTCCATGGACCTTGAAAGCTGAGCAGAGTGCTCTACCGCAAAACACGAGGTGAGCTGCAGCAAGAGGAGCCTCCCTTGACACATGCTTCTCTATCTGCCCGTAACCGGCAAGAATTCAACCTGGCACCATGGTTTGCAACCGGGGCACACATCTTGCCGATGGTGTTGCCCCATCTGGCTGAGCCAATTTTGCATCTGATAGCACTGCATGGTACGATCCTCCAGCTGTTGATTGGCGTGATACAGCCTCAGATTTGGTCACCAAACCCTGCCAGACGAGCCGCAAGACCATGCCAACAGCACCAAGCCGCTGCTGCATCTGGCAGCTGTTCACAAGCTTGAGCCCCTGGTTCTCTTGCCAGAGGTCAAGACGCCTTGGGGTCCACTTGTCGGCAAAACTGCAGAACGCACACTGCACACCATGCCGGTGCCGAGGTCGCTCAGGGCCCGGCTGACATCTCTCCTGCTGGAGCCTGAACATGTGCCAGTTCCAAGGACTAAGCGTTGCAGTATCTTGTGACCCCGCAAAATCCATGACAGAGCCTGCCCTGCAGCCTTGCTTGCACAACCTCCCCGACAATGCTTGGACTCGCAGCCAAGCCACTTGCACTGCAGCTGTTGGGCATGCTGCAGTAGCCATGCGTTGTTGCGCAAAACCGTGTATATCATTGCTTCAAGCTGCTCCCGCCTTGGATGCTTGCACCACTTGCATGCCAGCCAGATCTCAATGTTCTTTCTTGGGGCCAGACTCGCGATTGAAAATTGGCATGTGCCCTACCGCTTGCGCAGGCCTCATTTTCAAGACTGTGGGAGACACCGCGTCGCGGTCGAGACTCATCAAAGCACCCTCTCAGCAGCTACGACCACGACGCAACAGCTTGAGTGCGTACGTCCGGCACCAAGGGGTCGGCATCGTGAGCAAACCGTCTTCGCCCGTCTGCAGCTGCCCACGACACATGGCTTCAGGAAGGAGCCTCGCTGGCCCCCTGATGCTAAATCCTCAGATAAGTTGCACATTCATGCTCCTGCTGTGTGGCCGCTAGCCGCTAGCCGCAGACAAGATGCTGCAATGTGTTGATGTCCAAAGTGCAAACAACCAGCAACTTCAGAATTTGCCCCCTAGTTACCGTAGCTACGACACGCAAGTCGCAAGTAATATCGTCCGTGCCGGGTGAATAGCGTCGCTGCGATGCTTTTCGAGCTTCGCTGAGCCAAGCCTGGAATCCCGATACATTTTGGGCTGCTTTGCACAGGAGGCACAAGCATTGAAGGCAAAGATGCTCATGACCACCGATGGGCAGTTTGAGAAGTCTCTGACTATGTGCAAAGACCCTTTTGCTCACTCGGGCACATAGCGGCTTGGACCTTCAGCGGCCTCACAGAAAATACAAGCAAACACCCTGAGTACACGAAGCGCATTCATGCGGCGCAAGCGACTCTGCGCTGTGTAATGCAAAATCTTCTCCGCTACCATGGCTCTTCTACTGCAGCTCTTCTTTGTGCACACCGAACGGCCCCACAGCCCCGCAGAAGGTGGCCTCGGCTGAGCTTTTCTCGAATTCTCGAATCTTCCTGGCGACAGGAGCAGATTTCCTTCAAGTCTTCCGTTGAAGAGTCATTGAAGAGCAAACTCGGGAAAAGACAAAAGCCGAAGCATTGGCAGAAGCGATAGGCCAGTTCCTGCTTAAACAGCCCGCTATCCCCGAAGAAGCTGCAATTCGACCTGTTGCGTTCCTCACACATGTCTTCAAACAACAACAGGCGCTAAGCCACACATGAGCGATCACTTCAACCTCGATGCTGCCAATCCTGAATCGAGAAATCCTTGGAGTTCGTAAACCCCAAGGGCCCACATAGAATCTCCCCTGCACCAGGGCTCCCGACTTGTGCAGCAACTCTGCCATGCGGGCGACAAGTTCACACTGGCAGGGGCGACTGCAGCCGCATCGGGCTCTGGAATTTCCAAGGGTGTAAGCTGTCCCTTCCTCTCTTGCAACCCTTTGGGGGCCCTGGCATCCTTCTGCTCCTTGTCCTTCTTCCCCTTCTTGGGAGCCATGGCTTCGCTGAGGTGCCACAAGGCGTTGCGCGTCCGGCCACCGCTTGGGGGTCGTTGGGAGGTGATCCACACTCCGTGGGCTTATACGTCAGCTTAACCGGGCTCTGTGGCTGTGGGGCTCCGAGGCATTCAGCCCCTTGACGGCTCCATGGTGAGCTTCAATCGCACTCTGCAAAGCATGGGCCGCATGAAACAGCGAGTCTCGAGTCTCTCATCTCTCATGTGTTGTCTGCGTGGAACCTGTAATACCGTGTGTTGCTCGCATGCCAGCTAGAAGCCAAAGGCATCCGACAGGCTGCATTCAAAGGTTGAAACTAAAGCAAAGGTGCCGATATGCAGACTGCCTGGATCCTCTCTCGCTGCAGCACATGCTGTACCATGATGGACAATCTGCGATAGATGGCCAACTCGGCCACAAGCGGCCTCATTGCTCTCCCCGGCGCACGATTTTTTGGCTCAGGCTCCATCTCAGACTGGAAAGTCGGGGACGTGTGCGTGTTGTAGAGACTGTCTGCTGCATCCGACGGATAGAGCCTCCCAGGTATCAGTTCATGAACCGGGGGATGCGTTGCTGCTCGCCATTCGAAGCTCGTCTTGTACACAACCGGATCTGCAAAGCAAGACTTACTGAAGCCTTCTGAAACTGACAACGGAGATCTCACACAAAGGCCATGAATCCCTGGCAAATGCGGAGCAGTTTTTCCAACTGCTTCCGCTTCGGTGGCGTCATGTCTGCGTTTCGATCTTACAGATCGTAGTCGATCTTACAGATCGCAGTCATCGATCTTACAGATCGATGTGACAGAGTTCTTTCTGTTGGGAGGACCGACTGGTTCCCAGGCGGTACTCGCAGACAGGAAGCAGAGGAAAATATAGTAGTCCAATGAGGGTCGGGACGGGTGGGTGAAACAAAATTTCTCTCAAGCTGGAACAGCTTTTCGCCAAAATGGCCACGGAATATACAATCGTTCGAATTGAATCGGTGAGTTAATCCCCTGACCGATTCGGTGATCAAGTGAGATAATATGTTGTCACTTCGCACAAACAAGTGTGTGCTACACGACAACGGAGATCTCACACAAAGGCCATGAATCCCTGGCAAATGCGGAGCAGTTTTTCCAACTGCTTCCGCTTCGGTGGCGTCATGTCTGCGTTTCGATCTTACAGATCGTAGTCGATCTTACAGATCGCAGTCATCGATCTTACAGATCGATGTGACAGAGTTCTTTCTGTTGGGAGGACCGACTGGTTCCCATCGAAGGTGGTCGCGTCCTCCCATCGCAGGCGAACGCCACTCGAAATATGATCAAACTAGCATCGTAGTCAACTGATCGTGCAATCTGCGAATTTCGGGTAGTTCGGAAAAACCCGTAGAAGAAGCAAAATGAATATCTCCTATAATCTTCGCAGCCCTACTGGTCAAAGCGTGTACAGGTAAGTCGAGCTTAGTCCAAGTCGAAGACTCTGGTACATGTTCGAAGCGGCTGATCCCGTCGGAGATGTTGGCTTTGGTGGGAACACGTTCGAGTCGGAGTGCAAGACTTCGTCGATTATGCCAAGTCCAGTGTGCTGCAATGAGGCAATTCAGGGGCTGATGTTTGCCGACGCCTTTGAGTAGGGCGTGTCGAGAAGCTTCGTTGTCGCAGCACTGGACGTAGAACTTGTCGAGCCATGGCTCGAAGACCAGTGGAGCCAAAATGGCGACCCAAGCTTCGAGGAGGTAAATGAAAGCCTGGTCGGAGGAAAATTGTCGTACGAGTAGTGAGGGGAGACGACCCTGGAAGTAAGCTGCCATTTGCACATCACCGTGGTGGAAGCAAACTGCAGCCCATCCGTTCTCGATGTCGGATGTCGACTTCGAGTCCCAATTCGGGATGTCGTCGTTCCCCGGCCTGTAGGTGTGGTCGCCCAGGCGGAAGTAGGCATCCGTGTAGATGACACTGTATGTAGTTCGAGTCATCTGTCGTGGTATCGTCATTGGGCGACAATGTTGTATGATGTCCTTGAGTGAAAGTAGTGACGATCGGGTAGGTTTGTCGAGAGCGTGTGAGTACGAATGGGCGCGAGCATATAATGCTTTCAGGGCCGCGCGGCCTACCTTACCGAAGAGTCGGCCTGTGAGGAAGTTGCACTTCCCAGCCATTTTCCTGGCTTGTTCGGGTGACAATGATGAGGTCTCCAGGTGCACGTCGATCTGCTTACACATGTTCTCGACGCGTTTGGGACACGGAGTCAACACCAAGTTGTCGTTGTCGGAGGAGATGATGACACCTTGGATCCGATGTGCGGTTTGAGGTGGTTGTCTCTTGCTGGGTTTCATCGAGATTTGGAGACAACCATTGTACTCCTCGAAGGATTCGAAGCTGCCCTCGGCAAGATCGGAGTCTTCCATGGATCCATAGTCGTCGACGTAGTGCATCGCCGGTGACAGGATCATCGTGCGACTGCACGCGACCAGAATGTCCCCAAAACGGTTATACGACCAGACACTGGCTGCCGAACCAAAGAGCAGGACGTTGTGGCTCCACAGTGTCGGGCCGTCTGGTGTGAGGAGCATCACGTATGCTTCGCGAGGATCTCGTAGTGGAAGTTGTCGATAAGCTCCATCGTGGTCATGTCCCCAGACTGAGAGGGGTTTAAGTCGATCCTGTCGGATTGTCGCGAGTCCCAGAGATATGAAGTGATCGGGTGTGTGATGGTATGGTTGGTCGTGCATCGTGCACGTCACGTTGTGTCCGCTTCGTCGCCAATCTTCTCCTCGTCGAACTTTGTTGTTGCCGTCGCTGCCCGTCTGTTCGATGCTGAAAGCCATGGCAATGTACGGGTCGGAGTGAGGCAATGGTAATAATTTTTGGTGTCGTCCCCTGGTCGGGACGATCGCAATCCGGGGCCACCAATCCGGTGCCTCGAACGGTCCATTCATTCGTCCGAGGTCGACCTCCGCTAAGATTTCGTCGAGCATGAGTTTCCAGTGATCGTCAACGGAGTTTTTGTCGATCTTCTCTTTGATGTACTGTCGATTGTTCTCGCGAAACTCTTCAATGGGAGTGGGCTCGAGGTATTTCTTGTCTTGTCGCACGTGCCAGTTGATGCCTGGAGTCAACTTCCCCATAAGGGGGAAGCCTTCGGAGAGCTCGCGGTAGATCAGCTCGGTCTGTGGGTATTGTATCATTCGAAGAAGGTGGACGAGGACAGGTATTTGTGTTACCGAGTTCTTATGACGATATGCTCGTTGTACATGTTCTGGAAGAGTGTTGAACCAGGCCATCGTGTGTTCTTCCATGTCTTCGACGAGTTCACGAATGTCGGCGATGACGGCCTTCTGGAAATCCAGGAGTGGGTGGAAAATATGTCGGTGTTGTAGACACCACTCAAGTGTGGGATCGAGTCTCTTGGGTGATAAGTGTGTGTCTCTGTGTAGTGCCCATTCGAGGTGATCCGTCCAGGAGAACTGTGGCATGTAGTCGTGATTCGGTGTTCGGGGTGGTGGACCAAAGGGTACCTTAGACTGCAACCAAAAGGAGGTGATCTGTTGTAATGGGGACACTCGAGGTGTCTCCGGGATGGATGCATCGACAGTCCCCAGTAGAAGCAGGAAGATGATCCAAATCGCCGTAGGCAGGTGCCACGCGTTGCCCAGAGCAGTGCAACGTTTTGTCTCATCGCCATTTCCGAGTGTCGCCGTATAGTCCAGTGGTAAGCCTTGTAGTTGTTCGCGCAAAGATGAAGGAGCCGTCGTCCATGATCCGTCCTGCAAAGTGACGATGAATTGTTCTTCATACTGCCAAACCGGGTAACGTCGCTGATCTTGTTCCCATCGATTCCATGCGTCTTGTGAAGTCGTGCGGTCTCGGAGTTGTCTCGGAGGTTCTCGTCCGAACGTCGACGTGGATGGTGTGGTCAGGCAGTGAAACAGTTTCTTGTCGTTGTGTAGACACGGTGGTAAGGAAAAACCTTTTGCGGAAATCTGGGGTTGTAAGTCGATGCCAATCGGGTTGTGTAGTCGATGCCATTCTCCATCTATTTGCCATTCGAGGGACCAGGGTGTGAGCCGAGGTAGTCTCTCTTCGACGGTGTCCCATGGGATCGATGTCCACCACAGTCTCTTGCGGTGCATAACTCCGGAGTCTGCGGCGTCGATGATGATCGGGTCCATGCTCATCGGAGATGTGAGTTCCACGACGTTGTCTCGTACATCGGGGTGGGGTACCACATTCTCGAAGATCGTCTCGATCGGGACGCCCGTGAATCGTTGTCGAATTTGATGTTCGATGCTGACCATGTGTTTGAACAGCCATCCTGAGGTGCCGTCGGATCCTTTGGGTTGGCTTCGTAGGCCGGAGAAATCCGGGCACGGAGGACCTGCCGTGATCACCATGATGTACTTTCGGTTGTTCGTTGCATTCTCGATGTGTCTTGCGACAATCTCGATGTCGAACTGTCCGACGTCTCCCAGGTGTACGGATTGGAATACTTTCGATGTGAAACTAGCACAATCGGCGTCGATCTCCCACGCCAGGGTGAGGATGACGTTCTCGTTGATGCGTCGGAGTGCTTCGGAGGCGATCCCGATACCATCGAAGAAGGACAGGTGAACTACCGGCAAGGCGCCCACCAGCTCATGGCAAAGTGTGCAAATCCTGTCGTGTGGGTCTGTCATTCGATGGTCGGCTCCAGAGCCCATTGACTCTGGGCCGTGCTGTCCCTATTTCTTCCCAGACTTGCCAGCTTTGCCTTTCTTGCCGGCGCCTTTCGTGCCTTTCTCTCCCTTCGTGTTCCAGGGGGGTCGTTGTGATACTTGTGGAGCAGGGTTGAAGGGGATGGTCGGGGCGGGTGTTGGTGTATTAAAGGTGGATGGTGTTGATGGGGTCCAGGAAGGCATCGATGTGGTCGGCCAGGTCGGAAGAGAAGGGGGGCTCCATGGTTGTGTCGTCGGTTGCCAGGATCGCCACTGGGTCGTCGTAGTGTTCCAGGATTGTCGGTATCGACGTCCTTGTCCAGGCGGGGACCATTTCTGTTGGTATCCTTTGCCCTTGCCTTTGTAGGGTTGTTCGGAGCCTTTGCCGACTCGTGGTCGCTTGGATAATGGTTGTTGCATCAGTTCACTCGTGTCAAATCGTTCATGAGGTCTTCGGTGATCATCTGGAAGGTATCGTTGGATCGCATCCGCATGGCGATATCCCAGGAGAACTCCTCCCAAAGGCTCTTGACGTTGTTAATGCGTTGTGAATGTTTGCGGACCAGTCGGATGAACCAGTCGACGTACTTATTGATAATCGTCTCGGAGGAATACTTGATGAGTATCCAGGCCCATCGGATTGCTTCGATGGCATCGATGAGCATCCACTGTCCCCTCACGTCCCACTCTTCGTTGGCCTTCTCGGTGATGTTATTGCGTTCATCGAGGACCAACTTCTTTTCGTTGGTGTCCTTCTTCCTAGTGGAGTTGATCGTATTGAAGCTCGTCCAAATTCGTTGTGACACGATCTCCCCCAAGGCCGTTGCGGTGTACATCTTGGAGTTGTGGTGTTCGT